TTGCAAAGGCCATTTTAAATCCCTTTTCAAGCCTTGCACTAATTTTTATTGACAGTTGTGTGTGTGTTTGTGTGTATGTGTGTTTTAAAAGCATTCCCTCAGTGACCCTAGATATGCCAGCCATTGGTGTCTGAGACAGCAGTCACAGCTCTAAAGAAAATCCTTTCTCAGATGTTTCCTCTAAAACTCATTCTCCTCCCCAAGGTTCCTCAGTTAATATCCTTTAGATTTCAATTCAGATTTTGGCTCTCATCCGTATAGTTTCATAGCAACCTCACTTAAAAAAAAAATACATCAGAGTTTAAGCTTCATAAGGATCAGGATTTTGTCTCTTGTGCTCACCATCTTGTTCTCAGTAATCAGAATAGTGTCTGATACTCTGTAATTATATATCGAATGAATTTGTGAATCCCTTTTTTTTCCTTAAATTTTGAGAGAGAGGGAGACAGAACCCATGCAAACAAGGGAGGAGGTTGGGGAACAGAGAGAGAGAAGGAAAATCCCAAGCAGGCTCTGAGCTGTTAGCTTGGAGCCTGACGTGGGGACTGAACCCACAAACCATGAGATCATGACCTGAGGTGAAATCAAATCGGACACTCAACCGACTGAGCCTCCGAGGCACCCCTAGTACATGGTGTTTATTAAGTAGTGGGAAAGTCCAAGGATGAGATTAGAAATATAAGTGCCTACTGAGTGAAAATTTGGAAGTGATTCTTCTTAGTTTCATTTGTCCCCTCCCACCACCTTTCTTAAGAGTTTGAATAGGATGAGGAATAATATATTTAATGTGTGATGTTTGTAAAATTTCTACCTGCAAGTGGCCTTAGGACGGTACAGTTCAGCCTTCACATTTTAAAGCTGACAAAGCAGGTTTATTAGATAGTACAGATTAGTTGCTGATAGGTAATAAGAATTTGTTCTGGTCCCTACTGCCAGGCTTTCTGAAGATGCAGGTCTGGTTGTAAGGATGAATAAAAGTTAGCTAAGAGTTTATTAAGAAGGGAAAATAATTTTCTTTTTAGTCACTTTGTGCCACGTCCAATTTCTTTGCAGCGAAGAGTCCAGCACAATTAGGGGTTGATATTCCAGAGGCTCTGAAGTATTGTGGAATATAAACTTTCATCTAAAATAAAAGTATTATAATGACCTTCTGTTTTAGGGTATTTTGTGTAGTTGGAGATTATATCACAGTTGTGACACAACCTGGTGGCTTGGCCCTTATAGGGTTTAGCTGGTCTCGCTAGTTGTTTTGTAAACCCCTCAGCCTTCTATGTTCTGCATCTGGGTTTCCTCCCTCCCTTACTTCCTTTCTTCCTTTTTGGGTCTATGGTCAGAAACATGCCACTCATTCATTCTTGCATGCATACATTCAGCCAGTATTTGTTGAGCACTTACTGTGTGGCAGGCACTGTTAAAAGCACTGGGGATATAGCAGTGAACAAAAACAGACCAACTTCTTGCCCTTACAGAACTTTTAGGCAAGTGAGGAAGAAACGAAGGAACATGTGAAGGGATAGAGCTGCAAGGTCATTGTCATTTTCAATTTTGGAAGTCCTTGAAGGTCATAAAAATGAAGCAGAACTTCTTCTTGATGAAAACTTGAAAACAAAGATGGAGAAGACAAAGCTATAATATAGTCATGGTGTATTTAGCAAACTTGGAGATTTTCTTCTTCTTTTCAGAATACTACTGCTTTCTCTGTATTCCTGATCCCATAGTGAGTACTGTGTACACTAGTGTGTACTGTGTACACTAGTACGGTGTTACTGTAACTAGTACTGTTGCTAGTACTACTACTTACTCTAACAGCGGTGAGTGCTTATTGTATTGCAGGCATCATGCTACGTGCTCTGTGTATATAGAACCCTATAAGATAGGTATTACACCAGTTCATTTTACTCATAAGAATAACAAGACCCAGAGAGGTTAGTTAACTCAAGCACTGACCCAGCTACTAAGTGCTAGAGCTTTGATCTGGACCCAGGATTCCCAACTCCAAAGTCTTTGCTTCTGTACCAAGTATTACAAACTGATAACCTTTGTTTTTATTATAACATTGAAGTTGCATACATGTTTTTGCTTTTTTAAAAATGTTTGTTTTGAGAGAGAGAGAGTGAGTGGTAGGAGGGGTAGAGAGAGAGAGAAGACAGAAAATCCCAAGCAAGTTCCATGCTGTCGGTGTGGAGCCCAATGCGGGGCTCTATCCCATGAACCATGAGATTCATGAGCAAAAGTCAAAGAGTTGGACGTTTAACTGACTAAGCCACCCAGGTGCCCTGAACATAGTAGTTTACTTCTTTTTCATTAACTTGTCACAAAACTTTGAAAGTTGAGCACCTTTTAACTCCATTTGTAGTTAAAATTGATATCATATGTGAGTAAACTAAATTTTAAAAAGTAGGTAGTTATTATTAAATACTACTTTAAAATATGATATGTCGCATGTGGTAGAAAATAGAAAATCTAGTTGTGTAGAATCCATTTTATGTTAATGAACTAATAATGTAATTTTTTACTAATAGTTGTGTGTATGTAAAGTCCCTAGCGCAGTGCTTGGCATACAGTAGGTGATCTATACGTGATGGTGATTTTTATTGTTTTTAGTTTTTGCTTGACTTGTAACATAGATAATATCTTTTATGTGCAGGTGATATGCCAGTAAACTGCTTTAAGTGCACTATTTTGTAATCTTATACGGTAACCTCAGCAGTAATCAGCACAGTAGCCTTATGTGGACCGCTTTAGTTTTCATGTTCTTCTCCTTTTATAGGGTCTCCAGGATTTATGTGGGTGGAAGTATATTTTGGCAGTTGAGGGCTGTGGCTCTTGGTTTAGTAAGCATTAGAATCACCTGGAGGGCTTATTAAAAGGCCGTTTGTGAGACACTACCCCCACACTTTCTAATTCAGTAGATGTGGGTGGTGTCCGAGTATTTACATTTCTCACAATTTCCCACGGATGCTGCCACTGCTGCTCGTTTATGGAGACTTTTGGAACTGCTGCTCTACAGAAGTGACAAAACTTCTAATTATTGGTGTTCTTTCTTGATTATGCATGTCCACTGAGTTACTGTGTTGGTATCATTGATGTTGCTGACATCCCTGTGAAATAATATGGAGAAATTTGGTTTGTGTAAATGTAATTATACTTATTGTGTAAGGGAAAGTTCCTAATTTTTTTTAGTGTTTATCTTTTAAGTGAGAGAGAGAGAGAGCACAAGTAGGGGAAAGGGCAGAGAGAGAGGGAGACACAGGATCCAAAGCAGGCTCCAGGTTCTGAGCTGACAGAGCCCGAGGCGAGGCTTGAACCCACAAACTGTGAGCTCATGACCTGAGCCAAAGTTGGACACTTAACCAACTGAGCCACCCAGGCATCCCTTAAGGAAAAGTTTCTAGAGGTTACTTTTGTATTAGAGTATTTCAAAGTGCAGGTTTTAATGTGTTTCTATTATTCATCTTTATGCAAAACCTAAAAACACAAAGGTTTAGTTTTTAGGAATATATTTTACAAGGTAATTTCTAATTATATTTTTAATTATAATTGATTATAATCAAGTTTGGTTATAATTGATTTCTGAGAATTTCAGAGTATCTGGATGATGTGGCAATTTAAAAATAGTAGCAAAGACTTTTCTTTAGTTCTTTTCAAGAATCATTTTAAAACTGAAACTTGATAGACTAGTATTGAATTCAATTTGGTGCTCACATCATTCCCACTTACAAAGTAGATTTCACTCAGAATTTCACTTATACCAACATAACAATTTTACCTTTTCTTTTTAAAGCAGCGCTTTTACCTTTAGGGATATGATGGTATAGAGGGGTTATTCTCTCAAAGAAGAAAAGGCAATCAGAAAGTCTTTGTCCATGAGATTAGACTGAAATATACTCTCATTCAGTGATTACTGAATACCTTTATGTGCCAGGCATCATGGTGAAAATAGGTACCAAAGTAATTTATCTCTTTCATGCACAGTGAAGGGTTTTAGTGGATGGTAACTTAATATGATGTAATTGTGTGATGAGGTTACTGATAAACCCAGTGCTGTTGGATGCTTCATTATCACAATCAGTATTCTGTACAGATCTTGGAGGGTGAAGTTCTGCTTTCTTATTTTGCTAGACTGTGTCCACAGTTGTTACATTTAGTTTGGAGCTCAGGGACAAACTGAAGTCCTTCCAGAAGTGAGGACCCCTGCTGTTGAAAGGTCTGGCCATTTTTGCATATGAGGATCCTTGGAAAATGGGAGTAATTCATCTGGAGGGAAGACATCTTATGTTTTTAGTTCCCTGCTATAATGTAAGATCCATGAGGACAGGGACCCATCCATCTTGTTCAGCACAGTGTCATCAGTGCTTCAGTCCATGGCTGGTGCGTATTCAACAAACAGTTGAATGAGTTTTGACGGAAGATGATGGTTACTTTCAAATATTTGTCTTATAGATGGCCTGTTAATTAGACTTACTGCTTATTTCTCCAGAGGACAAAGGAGACACCAGGGGTGGAATTTTTAGGTGGGCACATTTCAGTTTTACATAGGAAGAACTTTGTAAAACTAGTTTAATAGTCCTATCAATAAACTTTTTCAGTGATTTGAATTCTGCTATTTTAAATGCTTGGGTAGAGGCTACATGGGAGCTTATTAGAAGATATACCCACTTTAAAAAAAATACTTATTTTTGAGAGAGAGAGCGAGAGAGTGTGAGTGGGGGAGGGGCAGAGAGAGATGGAGACATAGAATCTGAAGCAGGCTCTGGGCTCTGAGCTATCTGCACAGAGCCCGGCATGGGTCTCAAACCCACGAACCATGAGATCATGACCTGAGCTGAAGTTGGATGCATAACCAACTGAGCCACCCAGGTGCCCCAGAAAATATACTCGCTTTTAATAAATTATAGGCCAAAGTGATTTTTGGCTCTTTTTCTTTTTATTTAAGTATTTTGTTAACTCAGAACCAGTAAAATAATTTTTCCTAAGTTAGTCCTTTCTTGTCTTTTCAGACTTAAGCAAAGCAAAGAACTGGACCGGGAGAGAGCGCTTGCCAATGAGCAGTTAACCAGAGCTATTCTTCGAGAAAGGATATCAAGCGAAGAAGAACGAGCCAAGGCAAAGCACCTGGTGAGTATTAAAGATTTAGTAGAAATGTCTTGTCTACAAGGAAATCTCTGATGTTTGGGAAAAGCTAGGTACTTCTGGCCAACTTTTAGTGTTGACAAAATGCATGTTTTCTTTGCTTAGATTTTTGTTTATTTATTTTGTTTTGTTTGTTTTTGCCTTTTGCAAGTTGTTGACAGTTTGTTAATATTAACCTTGAAGGACTTTTTCTTAAAAAGGCAGGTAACTTAAGAATTATTGCAGTAATGCTCAACACCAAGACACTGGCACATGCATCTTCCCTGAAGGGGTATTGCTTGTTTTCTCTCCCTGCCTTCCCCTCCCCCCCTCCCCCTTGATTTTGATTTCATTTTATTTGAAACCTCTGGGGCAAGCAGCCTATCTTGTTTCTCTCCCTGCTTGCAACCACCAGATGTTAGTCTGGGAAGTCTCCAGCAAAGGTGAGTAAGGTTTGATCAATCACTTTCTGGGCTTTAGAAAGGGAAAAATGCAGAGCAAAGGCTTTGGGGAACGATGCTTTGAAAGAAAAGGGATACTTTTTTTAAAGAAACATTTTAAAACAATTTAAAATGAAAGATTATATAAACATGTTTAAAAATGATTATTGATAGAAGGGGAAACTTAAAAGGTACCCATAAATCTGTGATTCTTATGTAACTGTGATTTACACTGGGGTGTATTTCCTCTGGACAATTTTTTTTAAAGAGAGGGGTTGCAGGGGAAGGGACAGAGAGAGAGGAAGAGAGAGAATCTTAAGCAGGTGTCACGCTCAGCACAGAGCCGGACACGGGGCTCGATCTTAAGAACCCTGAGATCATGACCTGAGCTGAAATCAAGTCAGACACTTAACCAACTGAACCACTCAGGCACCTGTGGACAATGTTTATTCTTAGATCTATTACGTACTTTAAGAATTTGTGTATATATAAGAATTTGTATAATGCTGTCTATAGCATTTAGCATCATGAATTTTTCTTATATCAGGGAATGTTCTTGTGAAATATACTTTTTAATGGTTAAATGATGTCCCATCTTCTTTGTGCAACATATCTTATCAAAGGATTTTCCATTGTTAGGAAAAAGTGGTACTGCTCTTGTTGAAGTCTGGGGTCCTGACAGCTTACTGCCCACTTCAGCCTTCCTAGAAACCAATGGGAGACTTCTTAGGACCATTAGTGTTCATTGGAGTACACTTGGGAAATCAATGGAGAAGTAAAATGAGACTATATATTGGAGAACTTTGGATGCAGAACTGAGGGGGATGTCTGTCGTTCGGCAGGCCATTGAGAACTGTTCAAAAACTCATAAGAAAAGGGTCACTTTATGTTCTCTTGTATTTTTTCCCTTGGTCCTTTCCTTGAGAGGTCACGTGCTATGACCACATACCAGTGAAGAAAATAAAAGGAAGCTGATGTGTAATGAATCCATTTCTCCAGGTCTGTGCTAAATGGGTAGACAGTGAAACCAGAACAGAAGTGATGGCCCGAGAAATAAATGTCCAGGGTCAGACTGTTTTGTATATCTTTCTTGATTCTGGGGTTATAGGGTATAGATAACAAATTATAGTATCTTCCAGATTTTGGCACCTATCATAATATTAGCCAAACAGAGCCCTCATAGCACTTAGGGACTAAAAGTAGAATTTATACAATAGAATTATAGTTGATCTGTCCTAGTTTGAGTGTTCTTAGACATTTGAGTGGTAGTTCATGGCCACAGCAACATGGCTGCCCACAGCAATTTAGCTACCTGATGACTCCCAACTTACCTACCAGGTAAACCCCCCTGTATTGTTGTTATTCATTTTAGAAGGCATGCATATTCACTGGATAAAGATCAGGAAGTCAATAGAAAAATACTAAGATCACTTAAATGACCACTGTCTAGAGATAATTACTGTTAATATTCTGGTTTATTATTTTTGTATTCCTTTCCACATTCCAGTAAGTCTATATATAAAACATATATATATATATGTATGTATTTTCCCAAACATAGGTGGTAGCATACATAGTCTCATATAACTCTTACAATAACCTGGACAGTAAAACAATTTAGACTATATGGTAAAGATTTTTCTGTATTAACAAATATGTATTTGTGTGATCACTTCCAAGGATTGATGGATGCATTTCACAGAATTTTCTTGTAATTATAGAAAATTTGGAAAATACACAAATTACTAGGGAACTATCTCATACTCATTAGGATGGCTGCTATCAAAAAAAGCTACAATAACAAGTATTGGCAAGGATTTTGAGGGAATGTAAAATGGTACAGCCACTATGGAAAACATTATGGCTGTTACTCCAGTAATTAAAAATAGGATTACCATATGATTCAGCCATCCCACTTCTGGGTATTTATCCAAAAGATTTGAAAGCAGGGTCTCAAAGAGATATTTGTACATAGCAACATTAATCACAATAGCAAAAAGTGGACACAGCCCACGTGTGTATCAGTAGAGGAATGCATAACCAAAGTGTGGTGTGTACTTACAGTGGCATGCTATTCAGCTTTAACAAGGAGGGAAATTCTGACCCAATGCAGCATAGATGAACCTTGAGGATATTATGGTGAGTGAAATAATCCAAGCACAAAAAGACAAATAATGCATGATCCCATGGAGATGAAGTGTCTAGAGGAGTCAAATCTATAGAGAGAAAGTGGAATGGTGGTTGTCCGGGGTTGTGGGGAGAGAGAAATGGAGCACTTTTCAATGGGTATGGAGTTCCAGTTTGGCAAGATGCAAACAGTTCTGGAGATTGATTGTGTAACAGTGTTAACGTACTTTTCCTGAACTCTTCACTTCTAAATGGTTAAGATGGCAAATTTTATGTTATGTGTGTTTTGCCACGAATAAAGATTAAAAACAAATTCTAAGGAAATAAACATTACTGCACTTGTAATATTTAGAGGGTATAAAGTTTCTTCTTTCTTTCCCCCCATACGTATACAGTCCAGCTTTCCAGATTCTACAGTCTAGCATCTTGTAAAATATGCGGTGTAGAACCCTGATTCTCAGCTGAGGAAGCCAGCATCTCCAGAGCCCATGATTCCCCTGAGAGCCACCTCAAGAATGTTAGCATATTTTTGCTATGAGTGCTGGGCCCCAATTGCTGCCATTCTTACCCCTAATATGTAAGACTCTTGGAGTGATGATCAAACACTGATTTTATTCCTCGTTATTTAGAATCCAGGTGTTGGAGCCAGTAAGAAAGTAAAGGTTGGGTTTCACACGTTTGAAGGAATTGGAAAGTTGTCTTTTAGGAGAACTAGGAAAAAAGAGACAAAACTGATGTGATGTTGGTCCTGTGACATAAAATGAACTCCTCCCCCAGTCCCCATTTACCTCCACCTGCTGACAGTTGACATTTAGTTTGCTATCTCTGTACATGGGAGTCCAGACTTCTCTTCCCACAATTGTAACAGCTAGCTTTACTGAAGCTCTTTTTAAGGGCAAAGGCACCGTAGTCCTGTTGTCGAAGTTTTGAAATCGGATCAGATCAGACTTTCCCTTTGGGAAGAATTGCTTTAACTGGAGAAGCTCTAAGTGCTGCTCTGGATCTGAGAAGCCCATCCTAGCCCCTTAGTCTCCTGTTCACTGGTACTGATCTCTTAGTTGGCTGATTTTTACCCAAAAGTTTTAGAGAGGCAGTTCACTGGAAATTTTACCCACATGAAAATCTTAAGTGAAATTCACATTAAAGGAAGGAATGTTTCCTATGTGCAGGAAAGCCCCTCCTAAAGAATGAAGATTAAATAAAAGGACAGCACCAGGCAACCTGTAAAGTTCAACTTGACATTAAGACTTTGTAATATATAAGACTAATATTTGCTGTGTCATTAGATCAAAAAAAAAAATTAAAGGAGGGAGTTATGTCTTTTTTAACTTTGCAGTTACATTTAATTTCTTTTTAAAATGTGAATTAAAATTTTGATTTACTCTTTTTTCTGTCATATTAAATTTTGGTAGCATAACATTAGTCATTTTTTGTTGTCACTACAGAACTATGTAGTATTTTCGTTTTTCTTTTCTTAAACTTCAAAAGGACCTGCAATTTACTTAAGGAAATATTCAAATACGTATACCTCTAATTATGAAATAGTGTCCTTCACCCATTCGACAGATGTTTTAGTGAGTGCTTACTGTATGAAAAACAGTGGGCTAGATACATACCAAGTATATATAAACGGAAAAGACAAAATCTTGTTCTTAAGAAATTTACAGTATAGTGTGGGAGACTGATACATTAAAAATAATGTTAAGTGCTAACTGTGTTATAGAGCCATGCTATTTACATTCTTGAGAGAATTCTCACTTTTGTGAAAGTAGGGACTTTGTTTTAACTCATTGCTATATGTGCATTCATTTGTTCAACGCACATTGAGTGCCTAATATATACCAATGCCTACCAAAGGGGAATTAGTCAGTTAATACTTATTGGTTGATTAAGTGAAGAATCGAATCTACTCAAGCCCTGAAATGGGAGAGGACGTAGGAAAGGATAGAAAAGACTTCTTAGGGAAGTGGTGTCTGAGCTGAGTCTTGGGGAATGAGCAGGGATCACACATGTGGTTGAGGAGTAGGAAGGTCTGGCGGATCTTCATACTGCAGGTGAAAGCATGGAGGTGTGGGGCCAGTGGTACCCTGAAAAGAGTTGCTGAGCAGAAAGTCCAGAGCAGGGGACGTTGGTGGTTGAGATAAGAGGTCGGCAGGGCTAAGATCATGAGTTCTGTGTGTGCAATCCAAGGAACCCTGCACTGTATACATATAAAGGGAGAAATGAAATGGTTAGGGGGCCATTTTGATATCTTACCCTAGTGAAGTGTGCAGGACAGAGTAGAGGAGGAAGTAAATGGAAATGGACAAGTTCCAAGTCTTCATTAATCCTGCAGACGGCCGATGGTGCTTGAATTTGGACAGTGCTAGTGGGGATGGAGAGAAAAGAGGACAAGCAAGAGATATTTAGGTGATAGTACTTAGAGGATTTTAGACTTGAAGAGTTGAAAGAAGTGGCAGGGATAACCCAAAGGGTTCTGTTATTAGAAACCCTCTTATTTTAAATGGAAAAAGTAGCTATCAATTAAAAACATTCTGGGTTAAGTGCATATTGTGCAGTGTGACTTCATTCTGGAATAGTGGAGGATTTCAGCCTCAGATACTGCACTAATTATTTTGTTTGACTCTAGAAGAGGTCCCTTTCCACGTTGCCCTCCTTCGCATATTTAATGAACACCTACTATGCGTTAGGCACTGTTAGTTGCTGGGAATGCAAAGATGAAATGCATTTGCTTACTTTTCCTTGAAGGGTCTCCTACTAGGTATAGGGTTTGTGGGAGGGTCATTCTTTGACTCTTCTTCTACTTACATCATGTTTCTTTGAATCTGTAAAACCTCGTAGTGTTTAGAAAAAATAACCCTAAAAAAAATAGGGTAGGTGAATGCATAAATTTAGTTTTTCTAAATTTAAGTGACTGTTTCACCAAAATGTCGCTTTTTATCCCCAGTTTCCTTTTTGTCTGAAATGCACCAGTGAAGCAATCAAGAAGAATTGATTAATTTTGTGCTGTGTGCTTTTCAGTTCTGTGTTTTGTTTGTGCTTCAAACTGTGACAGTTGAAATTTCATGGTCAAAGAGAAAAAGGTTTTGAAATTTGGGGTATGGAGGAAAATGACTAAATTAAAAGAAGTAGATAAGAATACCACCGCTGCCCAGACATAAATGAGGTTCTGCCCAAGGCCAAAGGATGCAGTTGGGGTTGTCACTTTGAAGTGATCAAAATGATCAGCATGGCTCTTGCTCAAAAATTCTCTCTAAAAGAACAGTAAGGCTGATCACTCGGAGCCTTTAGTATTATTAAGGTGAAACAGGTGAGTCACGTTGCTGTGTCATAGCAGCTTTCCTGGGTTCTTGGGCACTTAAATATACTTAAAAAAAAACCTTGGAGTTTTTTGGGTGCAATTTAGTGCTTTGATTATAATCTCTATTAATATGTTCCCTCTGGTTGTATATACTCTGTGCTGGTTTTCTTGCAAAAGATGCCAAGCCCCAAATGTTTTGACATGCATGGAGTATTAATTTGCTTTCAATGCCAAAAATGAAGTTAATGATTTTGAGCCTTTGCTTTTGACGATGATTTAAATGTAGAATTTCTACTTCATGTTTGAGGGGTCTAAGCCATGTCGGTATAAGATATTTTCCTCAGCGTTATTGGTAAGGATGGGACTGGGGATCCATCTACAAGTCCCAGTTACTCTCTTAACAGGAAGTTTAAGGGGCATTATCCCTCAAGACTGGTGGAGCTGAGGTGCACTGCACTCATTCGCCTCCTATGTGTTTGGAATCAGCAGGCCATTATCGTTGCCAGGACAAAGCTTTCGGATGCCACCTCTCTTTGTTCTTTGTTACCATACAGTCTTTACTTACTGTGTGTAAAGCAGCATTATTATTGTCAGCGGGAGTGCACAGAGCCCTGTGAAGAGATTGTTAGTGAAATATCCCGTGGAAAGGGAGGGCAGCTTCAGGTGTGTTTATTTGCTCCTGCGGTGGAAAAGGAGAAACATGTTTTGTCTCAGATTGCCAGCCTAGCCTTAGGTTAAGAGCCCAGAGAAAGAATAGGACTGTTAGTACAGATTTCACCATTAACTTACATACTGAAAGCTTAACCAGATGAACGTATTTCTCAGATGTACATAGTCAGACTGCGTCCTCATCCAGCTTTACAGGAATACCTGGGATCTCAACATTACCAAATAGCCTCAGAGAAGCACGATCTCATGCTCAGCACATACCGCGCGGCCTGGAGCAGAGAACGGCTGCGCACTCTTCTGGCAGTGGATATTAAATCTCACTGTCAGGGATGGCGAGACTGTCCAGTGAACACAAAGTACAGGTGACCGCAGTTTGATGTGTTGCTTTTGTTCAAGGAACTATCTGTGTGACCTTGTTGACAAAGTGATTAGTGAAGAAATAGCACAGTTGAGAATACCACTATTGATGTTCTTGGTGACAACTAGTTGTATTAAAAGACCTCTGTGAGAAGCAGCTCTGCTTAGAATGGGCTGTCATATTTCCATTCGAAATGCACTGGAAAAAAATGCATCAAGTTGCTTACAAACTGGTTGGCTCGGGGCAACTCTTGTCCAGTGGTATCCTAGGTGGTTGCCCTGTCATAAATAGCTTATTGACGTTCCATCAGTTGGGTCATTATGGGTGTCAAGGTGAGGGATGGAGAGCACTGAGCAAAAATCCATAGGTAACTAAGGTGCAAAGGGCTGGTTATAATTCCGTCTCTTTATAATGACCTGGCATTTATGGTTAACTTATTTGCTTCACTGCCTGGTCTGAAATGAACTGTCATTAGGGCCTTGGAATTTTATCGAACTGACATCATAATCCTGCTGAAGAGGCTAAGAAATATGGCCCTCAGTATTAGTTTTAACCTTTAACAAATTAAAAGTTTAGCGTAAGTATAATGAACTCTGTCAGTCCTTTCAAATTCCAAGTAAGAGTTTTGCATGTTATGTTGTGAATGAGACTGTAAGGCAAACGTGCTCTTTTTGTTCACCAGCAATCTTTTCGGTTTGTCTTTGAGGCTGCCTGTTCTGATGTCAGCTTTGGAGAATTGCTTTTCAACCCATTGTGCGCGGACCTGTGACTCTGTGAATTCAGCAGTGAATTGAATAGCAATGATGTTTACCCTGTGACATACTGTGTGCAATGACATCTGCTTCATTTTTGAGTTTTGGACATTAAATTTTTCACAATGTTGGGCATTCTTGAACAGCTCTGTATTTATTTCTTTTATGTATCCCTGATTTTATTGCTTAGATATGATTCCTAAATGGGACTGAGTTATGTTCCAAGTTTCTTGATGTTAAACTACGCCCTGCTTTTGGGGGTGGGAGGATTTATTTTCACATAGCCTGGGGTTATTCCGTTAACCAGAAAGACATTCCGCATTTTGTTCCAAGGTGACTCTCTCCACTCTTTTCTTTACTAACTGTATTTTAAGGATGACTTCTCCTGAAAATACCGAGGGGCAGAGTTACCAAATGAAGTAAGGCCTCCATTCTCCAGAGAGCGGGAATCTGTTTACAAACCTGCAGTATTTATTACATACCTCATTTAGCCCATTCATCATTTTAATAGAAAAATGAGTCATTTTAGATGATTCTGAAATAATTCGAGGTAAGCTACATAGCCCTGGGCAGAATATGATTTACTCAGACAGCACCAAGCTATTTTCAAAAAAATGTAATGGAATGATCAGCACCAATAATTCATGATTACTTGTGGCAAACTCATCACATGTTTTCATTGTCATAGAAATTTGTTGATGAGATTAAAAGTTTAGAGGAGTTTTCTAGCTAACTTCTCCTCATTCGCTCATCTTTTATGATAAATGACTACAAAGTTACATACTTTGTGTTTAAATATCCTCTGCCTGTTTAAAACACTGACTATAAATTTAATTCTAGATTGTGTTTAGTATTCTCTTGATAAGACAGACCACCGTTGTATCTCAGGACTAGTTTTATTGGAGATTACAGACCTATTTGTATACATTTTCTGCTTATGCACTAAATATTACTTCTTTTAATGTTTTTTTATCCTGATTCTGAGAAGCACAGCTAGCTGAACACCTGAAACCAAGCTCCAAATCCAAAAGGTTTGGAAACCCACAGAATGTTTCTAGATAGTGCTGTATCCCTCATGAGTTATGTTGATAACGAGCATCACAACGAAAATAGTTGATAAACTTGTTTTTAGCGCTCTTCATTTAACCAACAGTTTCCATGTCCATTGTCTTATTTGGTATTAATAATTGGTTGGGATGGATGGGACTCCTCTCATTCCTGTTACAGATGATAAAAGGACTGTCTTCAAAGAGACTGTCAACTTAAAGGTGGCACAGGGAGTGAGCTGCAGATTAGGTCCCCACTGCCTAGGTGACCTTAGTTGGGACATACGTTAGCAAATTTGATTGAATTTTTAACCTGTAGTTGTTGGTACCAACTATATTTGAAAGAGTAAGGGGACTTTTACGGTTAGGTGAATGGACAAAGGAGAAATTCTTGGAGGCATAAATTTAAAAAGCACCAGAACATCATGTATATGATGAGTACGTGCAGGAAGTAAAAATACCACAGCACGATAGGCATACTATACTCATGGAGAAGGAACATGGAGGCAGGCAGCCCTAGCCACTCTAGCAGGCCTTGTGTGGTATTGCTTAATGAAATATATTCATTATTGTAACACTACCAGAGATTAAGAATAATCTGTTTAAGGACAAGGAATGGAGTAATGCATATTAGAACTAAAGTTTCCTTCTAAATTATTTTGAATTGTAAAGTTTTGGCCAGTCAAGTTGTAAATTTCAGTATTCCAAAAAAAAAAAATCTCACCTGTGAATGTTAACATTGCAAAGGATACTGGTTAATAAGAATGTTATTGTATCTTTTCATAAAAACATTTTCAAGTGTACTTATTAAAAAAAAACATTTGCTCTGATCTGTTGTATTTTGAGAGAGGTGATTGATATGGATAGAAAAGGACCTGGTTTGTAGCAATTATCCATTTTCTTACCCTCAGAAGAACAGGAGTATATAAAGGCAGAAAGTTTCCTTTTTTATGTGCAAGGTAAACTCTTTGCAGGGGAGATAAGAGATGAATTGATTGTTTTTCTACTTTGGACAATAAAGATGTGTTAATGTAGCAGCTTTCTTATTGAGAATAGAGCTAGGCTTGCTGCAGATTATTTTTTTGGATGTTTATTTATTTACTTTGGGAGAGAGACAGAGAGAGAGAGCACACATGAACGGGAAAGTGACAGACAGAGAGGGAGAGAGAATCCCAAGCAGGCTCCGTGCTGTCAGAGCAGAGCCTGACTTGG